ACGACAGCGACCCTGGAATCGCCATGCTGGGTTGGTGCGCGGGCGGCCGCTGCACCGTGGAGGCAGGCCGTGCCACGACGCAGCGCAGTGAGTCCGCAGATAGCTTGCCCACCTCTCGTACACGCGGTGAGAACGCACGGGCTTCTTCTTCTTCTTCTTCTTTCTTCTTGCTTCTCTTTTTCTTCTTCATATTACTTCTTCTGTCTTCTCTTTGCTTTTTCTACTCGTCTATCTACTGTTCTACTATACTTCTTTTCTTGATATCTTGATTTTGCGTCTTCTTTCGAATTCTTCTGCTCTTTTCTTCTTCTTCTTCTTCTTCTTCTTCTTCTTCTTCTTCTTCTTCTTCTTCTTTTTCTTCTTGGTGTAAATTTGTAAAATTTTATTGCAATTTTTTACATGAAAAGTAATAACGGCACTAAAGTATATCCTCAAATTTTACCTGATAAGATTGTTTTTCAACTATTTAAAAATATATAAAAAATATGGGCGATTTGATATATTGATCATGACATTAAATGCTTGCTATGGGCTATGTATGAGTCACGAGTGTTTGTTCACATCGAACGGAATAGCAAAATAGGAAGTATAACGCAGCAATTCAACCATAAAAAGTGAACAGAATCACTTACATTATAATTCTGTGAAAAAGTGGACATAATGTTTTTTACTTTTACCATTTACGGTGACATAATCACTTTAAAGATGGCCTCTAATGACAAAAAAGACAAGTTCTGTGAAAAAGTGGACATAATTTTTTTTACTTTTACTATTTACGGTGACGTAATCACTTCAAAGATAGCCTCTAATGACAAAAAAGACAAGTTAGACAGACACGCGTGCACAACGTATCGATGTCAACCGGCTACACATGCTGTCGTACACAGGATGGGTGTTGGCAAGTTAAGGCCTAGGCCCCGAGTTGATTTCTTGGGCGGTTGTCTGACTGGAAACGCACTCAATATCCAGTGCGTGCATTTTTGTCACGGGTCTGCGTAGCATCACTGAGATGGGAGGTAGAGGGACTATTGCACTTCCTGTATGTAGGAGAATCTCTCCACATAGTCGATCATCGTCACCTCCTTCCTCACAGCGATGCCTGATGAGTCAATCCCTGCATGTTAATTCCTACAGACATTTCCCTTTACGTGGTGTCATACAGTCATAGCAGTAGTGATGGGAAGTGGTTAGAATATCATGATCGATCATCGGTTGCACCCAACCGATCGATGATCGAAGATAATCGGTTGAATGTTATTGATCGCGGCTACCAGATATTGAGATATATAACACATCATATAATACAGTATTTTTTATAATATTATATTCTAAAAGCTATGTAACAGTATTATGTTTGCTTATGTTATATTGGTGTATGTTTGGTTTAGGTTTAATTTCTACAGACATTTCCCTTTATATTGCAAATTATGCGAAATTGCCGTGGGAGGATTTCGTAGGACTTCTAGTATGTTGTTCACTAAAACGCCCTGCAATGAAATAATTTCTGTTGCTTTTTTTTCACGCGCAAATGCCAGATTTCCTGGACTATACGTGGTGTTACGATAGCAGTGTGTTTAGATTATATCGGTGATTGGCGCGGGGCAGTAAATGGAACCAATCATCACAATACATGGGAGCAAGAGCGTATTGAGTACAAGTTTACTAATTCCACTGAAACTGCAACATGGTTTTTGCATTTCACCGTTGTACGCTCTCATACTTAATACGCTCTTGATGGAAAGATATGAAGATAGATTAAGAATATACGTTGCGTTATATGTATAAACCGTATTTCGTTTACATCCTATTCGTACATAAATTATGAAGCTGCTGTAAACACGGACTGAAGCCGGCATCTCGAGTGGCGTTCGGATGCTGCGAAATCCCCGCTATATATAACGTACTTCTCGTTGTCATGGTTTCAGTTTGTCCCAGCATCAGGACCGGTGCAGGGAGGCACCGAGCTGGAAGTGTTCGGTGACAACTTTGGCTCCGACTTCGGACATGTGACGGTTGACCTGACCGCGGGCACGGGCTGCGAGATCGTCTACCGCAATATGACATAGTGAGCATGCATGCACACGCCAGCCTCAGCTTTAGTAGGGGGGGGGGAGGGGGGGTCAGCAGGGGAAATGGATGTGTGTGTGTGTGTGTGTGCGCGTGTGTGCGTGTGTGCGTGTGAGTGCGTGCGTACGTGTGTGCGTGTGTGACTGTGTTACATATTCTGTATGACATACATACATACTTACATGCATGCATACATACATACATACATACATGCATACATGCATACATGCATACACGCATACACGCATACACGCATACACGCAACCACGCAACCACGCAACCACGCACGCACGCACGCACGCACGCACGCACGCACGCATACATACATACATACATACATACACGCTATCCCATGTTTCAGCATCCTGTGCCTGACAGGCCCTTCCCCAGAGTCCCGCACACGCGTCACCGTGCAGGTAGTTGACAAGACGCTGAACGTCACCGAGTACAAGATCACGGGCCAGGCAACCTCAGACGATCTGTTCAGCTATGAGGTAAAGATGCTCTATTGTTGCGGCATCTCTTTCTCTGTCATGTGTATTTTCTCATGTTTTTATGTTATATAGTTCATGTTATATGTATATAGTCTCATATTATATATTGTTTCACAATTTTTGGCCCTTTCATTGATGTGCATGGCAGAAATCGGACAAATGTAGAATTCATTACGATAGATTGAGTTATAGTCCTGCACGATCAGAAGAGTCAGTCTGCAATTTTTCGTACGTACAGAAACCACGGATGATCAACTTCAGCCCCCAGATGGGGCCACTGTCCGGTGGCACAAACGTTACGATTCGCGGCGTCAACCTGGACATTGGTAGAATGCGTGACGTCACCATCGCGGGTGTCACCTGTGGGGTGATAAGGTAAGTGAAGTAGCTGTGTGCAAATGCTAATCCTCAGTTAGGTCGAGCAACATTGTCGTTTTGTAATCAGTTTTGCCTTCAAAGTCGTCATCAAGGTTGAACCGATGGTAACTCTATCATTGACTACAGTCGTTCTGACTCAGACTTTATATTTAAAGCCATATTTACGAGAATTATCCAGTGTTTTCTCCCACTTGTATGACCGTTTAATTACCTACCGGTATTGCTTGAGTAACAGCAACTGCCTAGAGCAATGATAAAATGTATTAGAGATGATTTCCAATGCTATAAGTGCATAAAATCTTAGTGTTTTTCAAGTTAGTGTAATCAGTGATATATCCGCTGTGAGGTGAGACTATATTTCGCTATATTTTTTTGATTGAGCATATCTGAGCGAATATCTCGTAATAAAAACTTTAAAGACCGGAATCCAAGGTCGGCGATATGGGGCGATATTGACCCTATATTTTCCGGACCCCGCTTTTCCGGATTTCGGGAAATCCGGACCATTATCTTTACCGGACATTTATCTTTACATATTCTGTATGACATTTATTTACACTGTCTGTGTGTTTTTGTTTGTTCATATGTCTGCATGTGTATTGTTCTTACACTATTATATTATAATTATATAGCTGTTATGTGTACTATAGTATAATGTTTCGGTAAAATTTGGGGCTATTTTTTACATTCGCCGGAAATACGGACTTTTGCATTTTCCGGACAGGTAGTGGCCCCTATTAATCCGGGAAATCAAGGGTCAACAGTATGTTATATAGGCAGCAGGTTGACTGACTCCATTATCGGTAGCTCATGATTTGTGCGTTCTCGCCCGTTCTCTCTCTCTCTCTCTCTCTCTCTCTCTCTCTCCTCTCCTCTCCTCTCCTCTCCTCTCCTCTCCTCTCC